GTTGGATACAAGCGCAGGAAGAAGAACAGGAGTAGGTGATTCCTGAATATCCACTTGGAAGAGACAATTGAAGAAAATCGAGAGTCTGGAATTTACAACGAATCTTGGAAGCTACAAGAGATAGATCGGGAGATCTAACTGGTTGACTAGATAGTATCTACGATAGCAGATCGTGAGTCACAAGAAATATCAAATCTTGGAGATTACAGGAATTACAACAGCAAGAATTGGTGGAATTTGTTAGGCTAGAAACAGACTGTATTCCATATTGTCTATAATGGAGGTAACGGCTTGATCTCGGAGTTTTTACCTAGTTGGGTTTCTCCATTATCATTTTGGTGTTCATTCTTTATTACTTTCTATATTACAAACTGTGGTATTCAAATATAGGCTAATTGAATTGTATACTTAATCATCTAGAAACTGTTAAAAAGTGACTTTTTGCTTTTAATAGATAGGATAATTGAATTGTATGCTTAATAATCTAGAAACTGTTAAAAAATGACTTTAATAGAATAATTCCACACGTAAGGTGGTCGAACTTAGTTAGTAAACTGCGTATTTTCAATTGGTATCAGAGCGTAAGTTTGATTCATGACATTAATTTGTCTAGATGCGTAGTTCGTTGTTCGTCCTCTATAATTTGATGACAATAACATGCCTATTGGAAAGTTAGGATGAGAGCGTTCTTAAAATCTATGGATGAACGAATTTGGTTGAGTGTGGTGAATGGTTGGAGTGCCTATAGTATAACTATAGAAAATGTAGTAACCCCACTCCCATTTCTAATTAGACTAGGATGAACTTCGATGAATGTAACTGAAACAGTAAAGCCTTACATGCCTTACTTATGACAGTATCCCTAGAAGAATTTAGAGAGTATCTATGTGTGAGGTTGCTAAAGAAGTTTGAGATATTCTACAAACCACACATGAGCGAACTCAGGCTGTTAAGAACTCAAAATTGCAAATGCTAACCACTAGGTTTGAAGAGATTAGAATGAGAGAAGATGAGACGTTTGATGCATTCTATGCGAGCCTAAATGACATAGTGAACTCTAACTTCAACCTAAGAGAGAAAATCCCCGAGCCTAAGATAATGCGTAAAATTCTTAGATCCTTACCCGAGCATTTCAAGCTTAAAATCTCGGCAATTGAATAAAGTAAGGACATAGATTTCATTAAAGTAGAAGAGTTAGTTGGATCCCTCCAAACGTATGAGCTAACCTTAGATAAACCTGTTAAAGATAAATCTCTGGCCATGAAATCCTTGAGAAAAATTCGGACCGAATCTTCTGATTATGATTCACCGGATGATGAGGAGTTAGCTTACCTGGCTAAAAAATTCCAAAAAGTGCTTAGGACGAAAAATAACCTTCAAGAAAGACACAAAGATGGCCCAGTGAATCTGGGAGAAAATTTAAATCTGTGAGGTGCCATAATTGTTGAGGTTTTGGCCATGTTAGGAGTGAGTGTCCTAGCAGTAGGAGGAATTCGGATAAGGCTATGAATGCTATTCTCACTGATGACGAATCTAACTCAGACAAACAAGTGAGGAATCTACTCGAGAGGAAAGTGGAAAATATATTGCCTTTACTACGAGAATTAAGAATGGATCTGACCAAGGAAGTGAAAGAGAAGAGGACCTAGATAATGATGAGGATTCTAATGAAGAGTCTGTGAGTGAGGAATATATCCAAGAGGCTTATG